AAGCATGGCAACAATAGTGAGGTTGGCCCAGGACCAGACAGTGTTTCGTTCTTCTGTGCATAAGGTCACTATGGGTCGGTACCGACTTGATGGCACCTAACAACAACAACACATATGATCAAAGTGATAACAGCAACTCAAAAGATAAGACAGGAAGCTAGGGGACAGTGAGTTTACATTAATAGAGGGGGAACAACTCAAGACAGGTGAGTGAGAATGTTTCCACAGCTCACAGAACACAATCAGTATCACTCAGTTGTACATGTAACACAGTTGAATTGGTATAGTTTGGTTGTATACATTATTAAAAAGAAAGCAAAACTCTACAGGGTGGGGAAGAGAGAGAAGATAGCATTTCAGGAAATTTAGTTTCACAGTTCTCAAGGTAAATATGGTGATGGTGGTGGTTGTGTGCCATCAAATTAGGTCCAACTCACAGCAACCCTGTATAGAGTTTCAGAGGCTATAAATCTTTATAAAAGCAGAAAGCCTCATCTTTCTCTCATGAAGAATTTGGTGGGTTCGAACTTCTGACCTTGCAACTAGCAGCCCAATACATAACACACTAAGCCAAAAAACAAACAAACACACAAACACTTGGAAATGGAAATGCTGTATTACCCAGCAATCCCTCTAGTTGGTGTATAACCACAAGAAATGAGAAACAGGGCACTACAACACTATTCACAATAGCAAAAAGATGGAGAGTGTCTAAATGCTCATCAATGAAAGAACTGATGAAACAAAGTTTGGTACATACGATGGAATACTATGCAACACTGAAGAACAATGATGAATCTATAAAACACCTCATAACATGGCTGAACCTGGAGGACATTATGTTGAATGACATTATTTAATCACTAAAGGGCAAATAGTGTATGAGACCATTATTGTAAAAATCCAATAAATGGTTTTCATGCTAAAATAAAGATTCTTTGATGGTTACCAGGGGTTAAAGCAAAGGGAAAGTAATTCACTCACAAGAGGGTAGACACATGCTAGCTCATATGATGGTGGTGGCAACAGACAAAAGAGGGAGATTGGCAGAAGAATAGTGAAGACACACAGTGTATTTAAGGTTTAAAGGAGAGAGAGATAAAGAACATGATATACACAACCCTAACTCCTGGTATGACACTGTACATTAATGTTTTGGGCTGCAAAGTCCATTTGAACCACAAGGTCATTGGTTCAAGCTCACTAGATGCTCCTCAGAAACCCTACACAGGGTTCCTATGGGTTGGAACCTACTGGATGGCATTTAACAACAATATATAACCATGGAACTACAGGGTTCTGCAAGTAGATACATGGACAGATGCACAGGCTGAACAGGTATGGGAGAGAGAGTGGGAATGTACCCACAACTATACCAGGGTTTGAAGAGGATATTTGTGCATAGTATTTACCTTTTCTACAAACACACCTATGAATGTGGTGGAGCAAAGAGGGGCAAAATGATGAACATTTCTTAGATATTATAAAACATCCTAAGGCAATGAGTTCCTGGGTCTGGGGGCTCAGGACCACAATCTCAGGAAATACCATGGTCAATTGGCATAATATAGTCCACAGCCAATATTCTGCATCCTATGTTGGTGAGTAGTGTCTGGGATTATAAATGCTCACTAAGGTGTAGTTATTGGTTTCTCCAAATGCCAAAGTAAGAATAGTGATGAAAACTGAAGCTATTTGGAGTTAGCTAGTCCAGTGGACCAATGGTGGACATCAGTCACCACAATTCTAAGACTAGAAGGAGTAGATGGTGTCCGGCTATCATTTCTAACTGCTCTGAAATAGATCACATTAGATAGTCCAAGATAGAGTAGGTGAAAATGTGGAACAAAGCTCAAAATTGTAAAAAAACCACCAGGTTTACTGGTCAGAAAGTGATTGGAGGGACCAAAGACTATGGCTGTCTATCACCCTTCAGGTCTGGAATGGAACTTACCCTCTTGGTCCAATTTTCAGGCATATAAGGAGGACAACCACACTAGAAAGGTATGTTCACCATGGACTTGTCAATCATTCAAGATCAAAAGGGTAACATTTACCTATGGACAATGTTGAGAAGAGATGGGAGGGAGGAATGAATGAAAATATGAACCATAGGAAAAACAGTTGGATAGCTGTTTCATAGCATTCATTGAGATGAAACAAAGTATGATTTGTTGAATGTAAAACTGATGCTCTTCTCTGTAAACTTTCACATAATTCACAATAAAAAGATAAAAATATAAAGAAGATGGAAGGAAAACAAAAAGTTTCTGCATCGATAAGAATTGGTCAATGTTCAATCATTTCAAGAGGTTCAGTATAATCAAGAACCAATGGTATTGAAGGAAGAAGTCTAACCTATACTTAAGGCACTGGTGGAAAACAAAAAGTCTCCAGGAATTGATGGATTACAAATTCAACAAACTGATATAATACTGGAGACACTCACTCATCTATGTCAAGAGATCCACGCCAACCCATGAAGACATCTGCATTTGTGTCCATTCCATAGAAAGGGAACCCCATGTCATGTGGAAATCATCAAACAATATCATTCATTAATATCATATGCAAGCAAAAATTTGCTAAAAATAACTAAAACATAGTTGCAGTCATCCATTGACAGGGAGCATCTAGAAATTCAAGTCAGATTCAATAGAGGATGTGGAACGAGCAATATCACTGCTGATGTTAGATGGAACTTGGCTGTAAGCGGAGAATCCCAGAAAGATGTTTATTTGTGCTTTATTGACTATGCAAAGGTATTTGATTATGTGGATCATAACAAATTATGAATATCATGGACAAGAATGAGAATTCCAGAACACTTAATTGTGTTCATGAGGAACCTGTACATAGACTAAGAGGCAGTTATTCAAACAGAATAAGGATATACTAAATGATTTTAAATTAAGAAAGGTGTGTATCATGGTTACATCTTTCACCATATTGATTCAATATATATGCTGAGCAAATAATCTGTGAAACTGTATTATATGAGTAAGAATATGGCATCAGAATTGGAGGATTACCCCTCTATAACCTGCAATATGCAGATGACACAATTTTGTCATCCTTTTACATGTGCAAAGTTGGCAGGAATGACCAGTCGCTGGAAAAGGATATTAAGCTTGGTAAAGTAGAGGGTCAGCAGAAAAGAGGAAGACCCCAAATGAGACGGATTGACATAATGACTGAAATAATGGGCTCAAACATAAAGACAATTGTGAGGATACCACAGGATTGGGCAGTGTTATGTTCTGTGTGTATAGGGTCACGACAAGTTGGAGCCTACTCAGTGGCACCTAACAACAACAACAATAACAATGATGGTTAAAATGAATTTAAAAGAAACTCTATGCTAATTGTTACATTTGGTGTTCTTAATCTTCTTAGCAGCAGAAATGAAATTTTTTATTGGGAAGAAATGGTGGATAAATATGAGTATTTGATTTTTCAAGGTCAGAGAGTTAGCAAGTGACAGTATCCATATTCTCAAGATTTATTTGTCCGTCCTGTGTACCAATCAATCATCCATCCATCCATCCATCCATCCATCCATCCATCCATCCATCATTCTATATTTCTTTCTCTCTCTCTCCATGTAGCTATCATTTATGTAACATCTGGATGTTCATCTATACGCCTATCTGATCTATCTATCATGACCTATCTAACTACTGTCTAACACTTGTTTAAGATAAATTTTGTCCCATAAATAAATATTGAAGAACTGTGAGTTGTTTACAAATCGGAAACCAGAGGTTCTCGCAGTCATTCTAATATTATATTTGCCTTAAAAAATGGCAGAAAGCTTTGTTTCTAAAAAATAACCTTGCAATATTAAGGAGCTCTAGTAGCATAGTGGTTATGAATCGGGCTGCTAACCTTAAGGTCAGCAGTTCAGAACTACCAGCTGTTACACAGGAGAAAGATGAGGCTTTCTGCTCCTGTAGAGATTTACAGCCTCGGAAACACCGTACAGGGTCACTATGAGTTGGAACCAACTCCACGGCACATAACAATTACAACAGTATGCTAGTTATTTCCCACTATGTATATTAGCAAACATATCTCACATCCTTAGTCTAGATAGAAATATACATGCACAAAACATGTTGTTATTGTTGTAGTTAAGTGCCGTCGAGTCGTTTCTGACTAATAGTGACCCTACCTAGGATTGCTGAGGAATGGCTGGTGAGTTTGAACCACTGACCTTGCAATTCAAACCCACCTTGCAGTCGAGTGCTTATTCTGTAGAGCCACATAAGGACTCCACATGGCACATAAGAATACATAAGAAATCCTTAATTATACATTCCAGAAACTGGGAAGGTATAACTTTGGAAAAACTAGCAATAATTCTTATTAGTGAGCTTAAAAAACAAACAACTAGAATTTAGACAAACAATTTCCAAACTACTAATATCATGTTGTTGCTGTTGTTAAGTGCCATGGAGTCAATTCCTACTCATTGCAACCATGTATAGGGTTTCTAAGGAGCAGCTGGTCAGCTGGAACTACTTACCTTGTGGTTAGCAGTTCAGTGCTTATCCTACAGAGCCATACCAGGAGTTCACACATAGGACTCACAGGAGAGGAAAAACCATGCCAGGCATAGAGCTTTATGAAGGAAAGTACCCAAATGTAATTTCAGAGCTAACTGTATTGGGAGCTTGAGCCCACATATCAATATCAAAGCGAGAATAACAGAGAATCCATTTCAAACTGCATAAGTTTCTCAAACAGCTTGAGGGCCTTTCTGAGACAGGCCAAAGCCATCTGCATTATGATTGGATCAGTCCTCATTTCTTATGTGGGCCATTCATTAATTTGTCATTTTGCTCCAACTTGTTTTCCTGCTGCTCCTTGTGAGAGAAAACATAATGACATGAAAAGAGAGAAAACCATGCAGCCAACAGCAGGTTCAAAGTCATCCTGAGGGTTTTCACTTTCAGAAAACAAACTATAATTCTGCAGCAGTGTTTCTTAGCACATACCCAAAAAGAGCCAGCAGGAGGGCTGTGGCTGCCAAGTTCTCTCGGAAAGTAAAAGCTGGTAACTGGAAGGCAAGGATCATGGCAACACACAGGCTGGCAGAGACCAAGTAAAATATCTGAGGGAGAAAGAAAAGATCAAATGAGCATATTTATCATTATCTACCTATCCTCAAGTTTTTCTTTAAGCTTCCACTTGAATTTATTTCCTTCACACTTATTTTTTATTGAAACTTTGTAGCTCTGAAGTCACCCACACCCATCTTCTTAGGAAAGGATCTTACATGGACCACCTGCCTCTGCCCTTGAGTAAATTCCACCCATGGTGATCCTATGATCAGAGCAGAAATGAGCTCCCTAGGATTTTCTTGGCAATGGAAGCAGATTTCTAGGCCTTTCTAACGTAACACTGCTGTTTGCATTCAAGCTATGTACCTTTAGGTTACTAGTGAGTGAAAACTAGGGACTTTATAGAGTACTTTATGGAGTACTATAGAATAAACACTGGACCATAAGGTCAGTTTGAACCACAAGGTCAATGGTTCAAACTCATGAACCACTCCTAGAAAACCCTATATAGGGATACTATGAGTCAAAATCAACTCCACCCCACTTAACAACAAGAGACCTTATAGAAATCCAGACACCTACAACAAAGCAGGAGTCATGGTGTGGCACTATGGGTTAATGTGCTGGACTGCAAAGTCGGTTTCAACTATAAGGTCGGCAGTTCAAGCTTACCACCTGCTCCTTGGAAACCCTTTGCAGGGTCATTATGGGTCAGAACCAACTCTACGGCACTTAACAACAACACAATGAAGCAAGGCTTCCTCCACATTTAGCATGAGAACAGTCTACAAACCCCTGTGTGACTCTCTTTGCCACTCTGTCCTATCCCATTTGTGGAGTTCTTGGACAAGGACAACCATGGCATCCCTTGGAGGGCTCTAGGACATCAGTATTGCTCTTCACTCTTTAGTGCCTCTGATTACATCCATTGGTGCAAAAAATGTCATCCACATGGTTCATCCCTTAGTTTTCAGATCTCAGCTTAATGTCACCTCTTTGTAGTTCTTCTTTAAGAACCTATTTCCAAGTCCATCACAGTATCCTAGTTTCAATGCTTCCTCTCATGATATAAATTCTACGAAGGAAGAGACCTTCTCAACTGCGTTCATTACTTCACGTCCAACACCTAGGATACACCTTGACCCACAACAGAGTTTCAAAAATATTCATTAAATTAGTGAATAGGATAAGCAGGAGATGATTGGATAAGATGGAAAAAGCAGGTAAACAAAACCCAAGTCATTCCTTTTGTCCTTAAGTCAAGCATTATAAGAAAAAGAAGAGGTAAATTTGGTGGTGGGATAAGGTTTTCAGAAAAGAGGGGCTATTCAGTGGGCTAATTCTCTGCACTGTAAAATCAGTTTGAACCACAAGGTCAATGGTTCAAGCACACCAGCCACTCCTAGGAAACCCTATACAGGGTCACTGTGGGTCAGAACTGACTCAACAGCGCTTAACAACAGCAATATTACTTCAAATGTGGGTCACTCTATGTGTGTTCATTCTTATAGTGCTTCCTTCTCTCCTATGATTTGGGAAGACCTTAGTCATTAGCCATTCAATGGCATCTGTGAGAGAGTAGATCAGAATTGAGTAGATCTGTGGGATCAGAATTGAGTCAGGAGTCAGGAGACTGACACCAAAAGAGATCCAACACTGGATAAACCACTCCCTCTCTCTTGCTGTCGATTGTTGTTCTATAAAAGTATAGGGCTTATAAAGATAAGGGGCCAATATTTCTGTATTTGGGGGGGGGGGGAATTGAAGAACATACATGTATTTTATTATAGTTCCTGAACTAGAAGTCCAAATATGAGTTTTAGTCATGTTTATTCCTTCTGAGTGTTCTGAGAGAAGAACTATTCCATGCTTCCCTCCTCATGACTAGTGTTGCTGTTAAGCGCCATTTAGTCCCTTTCAACTCATAGTGACCCTATAAAGGGTGTCTGAGGAATGATTGGTGGGTTTGAACTGCTGACCTTGTGGTTAGCAGTTCAATAGCTGCTGGCAAAACTTGGCATTCATTTGCTGCTTGTAGATGTGTCTTTACATGGCATCCTTCCTCTTCAGGTGTCTCTGTTCTTTCTGTATTTCTTGTTTATACTTTTATTACTATATTAGATAATTGATTATTTAAAAAGTAGGTCTGACAGCATTTCCCCTTTAAGTTTGAATATTTTGGTCTTTAATTCATTTGAATCTGATTTTCGTCTATGGTTTGGGTTTATTTTTTTGTATTTGGAAAATTTTTCTGCATTTGGAAAAATTCCTGATTGAAGCCATCGGGTCAAGGACATTTTGTTTTTGTTGTTGTTGGGAGGAACTGGTGTGGTGCTGTGCGTTAATGCGCCAGACTGCAAAGCTGTTTGAACTACAGAGTTGGTGGTTCAAGCTCACCAGTTGTTCCTTGGAAACCCTATACAGGGTCGCAATGGGTCAGAACCGACTCAACGGCTCTTAACAACAACAAATGATCTCTTCACTTGGTGTGGATTTGTTGAGACTTTCTATTTTACCATGAGCCCATTTTGTAGCTTCTGTATCTAAGATTAAGTCTACTTCATCTAGATGATCCAAAGAGTGTAGTGACTCTGTAGGATAAGCATTTGACTACTAATCACAGGTTGGCAGTTCAAGTCTACCAGTTGCTCTCTAAGAGGAAAGTGTCTTTTCATTCCCACATAGATTTACTGCCTTAGAAACACTATACAGGATTGTTTTGAGTCAGAACTGATTTGATGGCCACATCTAGATTATCCAGTTTATCTAGATTATCTAGATTATCAAGAGCAACATCTAGATGATCCAGTTTGTTGCTGTAGACTTTCATAATATTCTATTGCAATTTTCTTAATTTCTAGTTCATTTCTTATTTTTTTTACTTGCATAATTTTTCTTTTTTCTTTTATCAGTCTAGCTAAATGTTTGTCAATTTTGTTAATCATTTTGAAGAACCAATTCCAGTTTTATTGATTCTATCATTCTTCTAGTTTTTATGTTATTTATATCTGTTCTTATCTTTGTTGTTTTCTTTCTTCTGGTAGACTTAGACTTAGTTTGCTCTTGTCTTTTGAGCTTAGTTTTTAAGTTAGGTTGTTGACTTGGAAGCTTTCTTCTGTTTATATGTAGGCGTTTGTTGCTATAAGCTTCCTTCTACGTACTAACTTCATTGCACCATATATATATATGTTTTTCATCTTCATTTAACTCTAAGAAAGTCATGCTTTTCCCTATAATTTCATTCTTGGTCCATTTGTAGTTTAAATATGTGTTGTAGTTTAAGTTATAGTTTAATTCTGCTTGTACATCTTCCAGGTGGGTTTTGTTTTTTGTGTTTTGTTTTGTTTTTCTTATATTGATTTCTAGCTTCAATTTGCTGTGATCAGAGAAAAGACTTTGCCAGATTTTTGTCTTTTAAAATTTATCAAAGACTTTCTTTGCAAACTAACAGGGAGTCTATTCCATAGAATGATTCATGTGCACTGGAGTAGAATGTATATATATATATATATATATATATATATATATATATATATATATTTGTCCTTGTTGGGTGGAGTGTTCTAGTTGGTATACAGTGTTATTTATGTCCTCTGTTTCCTTGTTTATTTTCTTTGTACATGTTCTGTCCAATTTGAAAGTTGTATATTAAACTATTATAGTGCTATCTGTTTATCCCTTCAATTCTATCTGGATTTGCTTTATTGTTTTCCTTATTTTTCTATGTTTTCTCTTAGTTCTTCAATTATGTTTACCAATGTTGGATTATATTCATTCAATTTCATTATCTGGTCTTTCTTAGATGCCTTTTCACATCTGGTCGTGTTCATTTAGATGGGCCGTCATTTCTCTGTCCTTTCTGTATCTTATGGCTTATTCATGGGGCATTAGATATTTTCTTGGGGCATTAACTTTCTCAGTTCTTGTCCATACTACTTTCCACAAAGTCTTAGGCAGACAGAGATTTGACCTTTGCTTATCACTTCCTCTCATTCTTTGTGATAGCTCTTTCTCCCTCCTTAGTTTAATTGGGATTTGATAGCTCCAAAATTTGGTTTTCAACTTTCAGTGTCTTTCAAACACACCAGAGAACACACTAGGGTCAATCTGTCTAGCAGTGGATACCAAACTCAGGTGAGATACTGTGTTCTATTCAAACTCTTCATGGGGACAAAAGACACCCTTCTTTGGTTATTATTCTCCTTTTCTGTTTCTGAAACAATCCTAAAACCCACACCAAGCAAGCCCATTTCAAAACTGTGTGATGCCCACTGGTTTTGACACAGGCTTCTTTTCCTGCTCTGTGTAGTCTGCTTCTATCTGATCTGGCATTCTATGAAAACACCGAAAGCCATTCTTCCATTCCAGGAAGAAGAGGCATTGGTACTCCCCAGGAGACTCACTGAGAGATCTGTGAAAGCTGTTAGTTTCAGAGACCCAGTGAACCTGTGCTAGTTAGGGGAGCCGGCTCTACTTAAGTGACACTCCTCCTGGTTCCACTGTGGGGAACCTACTGCTGGAGTTTGTTTCAATCCAGCATTTGATAATTACTGAATAGGGTAGGGGTTGTCACATTCCAAATGGACACTCAGGGAGGTCTGCCTTCTTGCTACTGAAGCCAGTCCCATAATATGTGACTGTGGGTTTAGTCTCCACTCAAGATGTCTGCTTCCTGATACTCAGTCCAAAGTCCTGATTCCCTGGGAGGTCTGTTCTGTTGGTTTCAGAGGTATAAGCTGTAGGATGAGAAGGGAAACAAGTAGAATGCTGACCAAGACAGAGCAGACTTTCACTGCAAAGCCTTTCTATAGCAATTCACTGTAGCTTTGCAGTTGTAATTAGTGTTCAGGTAGGGGAAGTGGTAGCACATTCCATTGGACCCCTGGAGAGGTCTGACTTGTTGATTTTAGGATAAAAGCTTAGGATGCAGTCTCTTTGTACAGGCCAGGGGTATGTTAAATGCTGTAGATGGAGTCTGTTGTGACTTACAGTGACCCTGTAAAGGGTTTCTGAAAAGCGACTGAATCATCAAAGGTTCAAACTGACCTTGTGGTCCAGTGCTTATCTTACAGTGCCTTACCAAGACTCCTACAGGCAAGGGACATGATGGTGAGGAATTCAGACATTTTTGCTAAGTTCACAGAATATGGCCCATATGACTGGAGGGAAAGGAAGGGGAGGAAAATTTCCACTGGATGCAACTCGCTGCTGATTCCTTAATTCCTTGTTGATTTGGCCTGTCTGCAGTTCCTTGCTGCTTCCCTCTGCTCCCTGATTTGCAGTCTTTTAAAGTTGAACACTATTTCCTTGTTGCATTTCTTGTTATATTAGAAGGGGCGGGTTGAAACAATGATCTGTCTATGCAACTGTGTTTTTAGAACTCCAGCGTTTCTCTGCCTTGCCTAAAATTCATAAATTACCTTGGGTACTTACTAGCATATTTCCAGGTCTCATCCAGATATATTGAATCAAAATCTTAAGGACTGGGTCTTGAGGAATTCTTACTGATTATAAGTGTCTGAGTGATTATTATAACTGTTCAACTTGATGAGGAACCCTGGTTAGACTAAATGATCTAAAATGTTGAGGCAACTAAGGTATGACTCTTTTAAGTTGTATTTGGGGGTGAGGGGAATGCAAGCTATACATCCAAAAGGACATAAACCAGTGAAATTCTAGCTGTGTAGACAGAACAAGCATTATATATGAGGCCAATGTGTTAGCACAAAAAGTCCTGTAAGACAGAAGTTACCCCTAAACCAGAATGTACAGCAGCGAATATGACACCTATACAGGGTATGGTCCTCCATGTGACTGAACTCTTCTCCCTTCTTCTAGAACATAGGATCAGGCGTGTTTAAGAGGAAAAACCTATCACTCTCCTATGGAAATCAAATATCAGTAACACTATTAGTTGGTACTGATCTTGATAAAAGCACTATCATATGATATGTATTATTTGATTTGATATTAGTGGCTTGGGTTTTAGGAAACAACTCAGAAATACAATTGTTACTGTCCTCATAAGAACTGAAAAAATGGTCTGAAAGGTTTTAAAAACTTTTTTTTTTTTAAGGTTTAAAAACCTTTAAAATCGACAATTTAAAAAATTGTCAATACCTTCTATACAAATTTGAAAATAAGGCCAAGGTGTCACTGAAGTTAATTTTATGCAAACAGGTGATATATCATTTCCAATTATTTTTATCATCTTACCTTCTACCCTTTATCTTCCTGATCTGCACTTTTGGAGGAGACCCCTCATTTTCAAGATCTCTCCCTAAAGCTTGTCAATCTGCTCTCTTATGAAATAACCCGAAGTGGTTGGTCATGATAGGAAAAGGCACAACATGAAAGGCTCTTAACATAAGCATTCAGTTGCTGATTGAAAGGTGGGCAGTTCAAACCCACCAGTCCCTCAGTGAAAGAAATCTACATGGCGATGCACTTCCCGTAATGATGTGCAGCCTTGAAAACTCCATGGGGTAGTTCTTCTACGCCCTCCAGGGTCATTCTGAGTCCAAAGTGAATCAATGGTAATTTCTCTCTGAGGTTTTCTCTTATGGATTAGTCTGATGTACTGACATCTACCCTTCCCCACCTACACAATTAGACAGTTCACCAGATAGAGGCACATGGGATCTCATTCCAAAATCATACCATGTCATACAGGAAGTTTGTGAACCAGTACATCCTATAGCCAAGGCCACTGATGTGCTGCAATCGTTTGGCTCCAGTAACCCTGTCTTTCACCACGAAGCTCCCAATTGATGCAGTCAAGATGGAGAAACCCAACACGATGCAGAGGGCAACGCCGCACTGTCGGATGCTCTCCAAGCTGTAGATTGACAAAGTGGCTCATTAGATAATAGACAAAGAATTGACAGCAGTAACAGTGATAAAACCCATTCATCTAGGATATATGGTTGACCAGTTATATTGGCAAGAAACATGTATTCTCTCAAAACTCCTTTTGAGAGAACAACCTTTTGAACATACCATTTTTAGCTTATGAGGCATAAACAAGGATTAGAAAATTGAAAGAACACTCAGAGTTTCCCTGTCTAGACATCTATTCTTGATCACTGAGCTAGACTCCCAATAAAAATCAAAATAAATTGCCCATGTTGTACAGGAGTCCTGGTGTGGCACTGGGGATTAATGTGCCAGACTGCAAAGTGCAGTCTGAAAGGTTAGTGGTCACCAGCTGCTCCTTAGAAACCCTATACAGGGTCGCTATGGGTCAGAATCGACTTGACAGCACTTAACAACAACAACTATTAACATTCTACTCTCAAATCAATTAGTCCCCTCCTCTGAGCTAACTCTTTAGGAACAGTCAGGTTATAGTCGAGGGCATGATCAAACTTGGTAGCAAACAAGGTCCACTATGTTCTCTTGACTTCTTCTTTTATAATAGATATTAGTTTGTCTCCTTTTAGAATTATGGATGTGTGCCAGAAGTCATTAATGGCAGATTCTGGAAATCAGTATACATTAACATGAGGACAGACTTAAGGTGAGAATGCTCATTTGTGCTTTTAAATGCAATTTGGCACATAATATGAAGTATATGGAGTTCTAGAGATACGAATGGGCTGCCAAAAGAACCAATAGATCCGTTTTGGAAGAAGTGCAGCCAGAGTGCTCCTTGGAGGCCAGGATGGCCAAACTTTGTCTCTCATACCTCGGACATATTGTCAGGAGGGAGCAGTCGCTGGAGAAGGATATCATTTTTGGTAAGGTGGAGGGTCAGAAAAAAAGAGGAAGACACCCAGCGAGATGGATTGGCCAAGTGGCAGCATCAAAGGGGTCAAGTGTGGCAACAATAGTGAGGTTGGCCCAGGATCAGGCAGTGTTTCATTCTGCTGTGCATAAGGTCACTATGAGTTGGTACCAACTCATTGGCACCTAACAATAACAACAAGGGATATGCATATGGTTAATGTACTTGGCACTAAATAAAAGATTGGAGATTTGTGTCCACTCACAGGTGTCTTGGACAAAAGACCTGGTGATCTATTTCTGCAAACACATCCACTGGAACATTACAGATCACACATATGGACCACAACTCGGAAACTCATAGGATGACTATGAGTTGGTAACTGGCTTTATAAAGTATAAAAATATCACTGTACTTTATTATCTGTTTTACTAAAAACCTGTCAGCCACAAGATAGAGAAGAAGAGCTGACAAAAAAGAGAAGGCAAGGCAGAAGCACTGTCCATTTATTTAATAAAAAAAAAAGAGGTTGAGATTTGATCCTGCCCAGACAGAACACCAGCTTTATTACCATACCTCACTCTCTGGACAGAAAGGAACATGAGAAACTGTCAAGGGGTCATTATTATATTAACCTATATTAATACCACATTTGCGATTTCTACCCAAAATAATGCTCTGGAAGTTACTGTTTAGATTCCATGATCTTGAAGGAACTCATCCCCCAGAACATATTTTTTGGAAATACAGTTGCACGATGATATGTTTTCCATTGTAAACTCAGTCAGCTATGTGTTTCCTTGTGTAATAATAATTGCCCTCACATTTTGCAAAGAAATGCCCAAATCCTGTGTCACTAAGTATATATAAAAAACTCTCTCATGATAAAGCAAACGTAGAAGAGAGATCAAACAACCCCAAGTAAACTCAATGATTTCCTTCCATAGTTTGGTGATTTTTAATGAGTTTGCCCACCCTCCCCAACAATTTCTTTAACTCACATCTTGTCTTCATTCAGCAAGGCTCCTCCGTAAGGATGACTATAGAGCGTTATTCCTGTGAAAGATCAAAAAGCCAGTGTCAAGTGTACTGAGGAGACATCCCACCACTGAGCCACACAAACTCCCTGTGCCTATGATTTGAAACCACTACATTACCAGAGCTCCTTGTTGTAGGAAACCCTATATAGTGTGTCTATGAGTTGGAACTGACTTGATGGCATTAACATGGTTGTTTCACATGTTTCACATGTTTGGAGCTAAATGAGTGGCCGATGTGAGGAGTTCATTATAGGATACACAATGCCTTTATACCATTTCATTTCATGCTCCCACTCAAATAATTTTTGTTTTCTTCTTTCAGTTCTCTTATAATTTATCCTACGTTGTATCTTATGTTTCCTTATGATGTAGCAGTAAACCTTTACTTGGTACATGTTGGAAGATAGATGGAGCTTTAAGACATCATGCTGATTGAAATAAATCAGTTACAAAAAGACAAATACAGCATGGCATCACATATATAAAAAGAAAAGGCAAATGTCTAAAGACCAAAGTTTGGTAGTAGTTACTACGCACAGAAGGGAGAAGGGGGAAGTTCATGTTGAAGGAAAAATCATGTTGATAAAGAAAAGAGTTGCACAGCCAATTACTATCATTGCTGCCAGTAATTATATACTTGTAGAAAGTTGTGTGATGTAAAAAAAAAATATATATATATATAATCTTCTGGTGTTGATTATGTACAACGAAACTCATCATAGGATTTTGTTTCTTGACTTGCTGGTTTAGGGTCATGGTTTCATGGGCAGTGCAGTTAATTGGCCTAGTAACTTGGTTAGTCATGCTTACCTCCAATTTGTTGCACTGGGCCTGGAGTTTTAGACCTTATAATCAATCAAGTTTTCAAGGAATGAAAATTGGCCTTTATTTGTCATGGGCAACAGAGAATTAAGAAGGTAAGGAATATAAGGAGGAAGTAGAATGCTTGATTTATTGCTTCCTTGAACAATTGCTTCCTTTGCCATGTGATCAAAAGTGGTGGTACCTGGCTACCATTATTGAGCATTTTGATCCAAGATTTCATAGAAGAATACTGATTGATGGGGTGGAAATGCAGAACAGAATTTCAAACTCCTTTGACGCTAAACATTTTGGAGCCAAGGGGGTTGGATGAACCTCTGAAATTATTACCTTAAGATGATCTTTAAAACTTAGATTAAAAAATGTCCTTTGAAGTCTTCATAAAACCCAACAATAGTTTAGCTTAACTGGTAATGACTGTCTGCCTTGAGCATTATGCATTTTAGAGAACTATCTCTATGGGATCAACTCAAAAGATAAGATCAGCATCTTTGGGGAGTTATGGATTTATGTTAATACAGGAAGAATAACTCAAACAAATTGAGTCATAATTGTTCCACAACACCAAAAAACATTAGCAATTTCACTAAATGGTACATGTGAAAATGTATAGAGATGAAGTCCCAGAGCACCATCTAGAAAAAAAGGTGTTACAGATTTTTAATTTTTCTTTCCTCCTCTTCCTGTGGCACCCTCTCTGCCCAGCCTGGACACCTTCAGGCAGGTGGGATCACACCCCCAAAAGGGTCCAGCATTGCACCCACAGAGTAAAGTTTTCCCATGATTCAAAGAGGAAATCTCAGAAAGCCGCAGCAGACCTACAAACTAACATTTGGCTGCTTCTTGTAATGTCTGACTCTGGGACAAAGAACTAAACTTGACATGGGCAGGACCCTTTATTATTCCTGCCTTACCTAACAAGACACAGTAGTTCTGGCCAGACATCAAAATGATATTTGCACCTTGTAAGACCCAAATATAAAAGGCAAGAGCCAACAACAACTACTATATACAAGGACACAGTTATTTTGAGAATTATGATGTGCATATGCAGATATCTAACAGACCTTCAGAAATAAAAATAGTGGACAATCTTTCTTCCATTCATTTCTCAATATCTATCTGTGCACCTCCATAGTGGTGAGTAGAGGAGGGATCTGATCAATTGGACACCCCCACCCACTGCTGGAGGTTTCTACTGTGCATGCCTACTACCCTGTACAGCAAAGGATGCTGGATAGTCAGTGGTTTTATTTTTGTTTTTGTATGATGGTTTTTGTCTCTGTTTTTATATTGTTTCTATTTTGGTCCTTTTAGTATCACCTGTTTCCTGGAGGCAGGAGCTTTCTCTCCCTATGTTACCGAAGAAAAAAAGTGTGGCAAAATAGCCAAACTACAATCATACCCCATAATATTCCATAATCCGGACAGGAGCCAATACCAGATGCTAGGCATTATACAGATAGCCAACACTTGCTAAGATAGCTTGCATCTGAGTAATAAGAGATGTGAAAAGGGAAGCCTATCTCCAGATCACATCCACCAGGAGACACCCAGTAAGCTTAACAACACAGCAACATACATTTATTTAATCATTAAACTGCATCTAAGTATTGAAAATGTCCAAGAATAAAACAACAAAATATCTCACCACATGTCCAAAACCAGAAAAGACTAACTGAGACAAATGAGCTGGAGGCAGATATAGACTTCCCCTTAGAAGAACAGCAGGCTTTGGCTCTTCCTGAGAAGGAATTCAGAAGAATGGTATAGAAACAAACTTAAATACTCCACAGAGAGGTGAGGGAAAATAAGGAAGAAGTCAGTAAAGTGCTACAGGAGCAATGAAACAAGATAGAGATAGCTTTGGAAACAATTCAAAACCTGCAAAAACAGGTCCAGATGATAGAAATGGACAATACACTGAAAGGGCAAAGGAGTAGAATTGAAGAGATGGAAGCCAGAACCAGAAAGCTGGAAGACAAATCTGTCAATGCTGCTAAGATAGAAGAGCAAGCAGAAAAAAAAACTAACAAAAAAAATTTGAAGAGAGTCTAAGATTCATGTTGGATAACATGAAGAGGAATAACTTAAGAATTATTGGCACTCCAGGACAGGAAGAATCATAGAAAACCACAGAAGAGATAGTTGCTGGAAGAAAATTTCCCTAACATCTTGAAGGATGAGAAGATAAGCATTCATGAAGCTGAATGAACCCCAGGAAGGATAGACCCCAAAAGAAAATCACCAAGATATACAATAATCAAGCTCTTTAAAATTAAAGACAAGAAGAGAATGCTAAAAGCAGCCAGGGAAAAGAAAAGTGTTCCAGTGTTCCTTACAAAGGCAAGCAAACCAGATTAAGCTCTGACTTCTCAGAAGAAACCATGTAGGCAAGAAGGCAATGGGGAAGAATATATAAAACCCTAAAAGGGAAAAAAAAAAAAAAAAACTGCCAATAAAGAATTGTCTATCCAGAAAAATTGTCAATCAAATACAATGGTGCAATCAAAACATTCCAGGATAAACAGAAGCTAAGAGACTTTGTCAAAGCCAATCCAGCAATTCAAAACCTCCTAATAGGAGTATTTGGAATGAAAACCAACAAGAACAGACAACAACCAGAGATTGAAAGAAGTGGCAGCACCACCCAGAACTCAGTCAACAGATAGTAGAGTCCAGAATGGTACAAAATTACAACAATGAATTCAGAGGACCTCTGAGGACAACCAAAGATCAAAACAATACAATGTCAAAAAAGGGAAAAATATAGGTATAGGGATCTAAGTGATGAGGAGGTCAAGTAGACTGGAGAGTACAACAGACTATGTTAAATGGAGAGAAAAGTTAGTAGACGATATAGGGTAACCATAAAGAAAGTTAATACTTTACAACTTACCATGAAAATTAAGATCCAAGTAGAACAAGGAAACATTAAAACTAAGAAGAAACTGACAAACAGCTCAAAAAAACATGAACTCAGCACAAAAAAGCATGCAGAAAAAAGGAATGAACAGCACCACACACACACACACAACTTAACATAATGACAGCAATTAATCCATACCTATTGATAATTGCACTGAATGTCAGTAGATTAAATGCACCAGGGAAGACAGACAGTGGCAACATGGATAAGAAAGCAAGATACTTCAATATACTGTCTGCAAAGTCACACAAAGACAAAAACAGACTAAAAGTTAAAGGGTGGAAAAAATATACCAAGCTAATTGCGAAAAAAAACATCAAGCAGGAATGGCAATACTAATCTCTAATAAAATAAACTATAGCAAAAACCAGCATACGAGATAAAGAAAGACACTATCTCATGATTAAAGGGTCAATTGAGCAAGACATAACCATAATAAATATCTAAGCTCCCAATGAAAGAGCACCAAGACATAAAAAGCAAACCCTACTAGAATTGAAGAAAGAAATAGTGGGATAAATAGTGTACAATAAATACAACTATAGTGGGAGATTTTAGTACACAACTTTCAAAAAGTGATAGACCCACCAGAAAGAAACTCAACAAAGATACAGAGGAACTATACAACACAGAACAACCAACTTGATCTCATAGATGTGTACAGAGCCTTCAACCTAACAACAGCATAATACACATTAATTTCCAGTGCACATGGAACATTCTCCAGAATTGACCATGTGTTAAGTCACAAAGCAAGCCTCCACGAATTTACAAGCATCAAAATACTACACAGCATCTTTTCAGACCTCAATGCTATCAAATTAGAAATCAACAATAAGAAGACCAAGGAAATAAAGTCAAATATATGGAAACTGAATAACACCTAGAAGAAATTAAACATGAACTCACTTAGTTCGTAGAAACTAATGAGAGCGACACCACAACAAACCAAAATCTATGAGACACGGCGAAAGCGGTGCTGAGAGAACAATTTATTGCAATAAATGTACATATCCAAAAAGAAGAAAGATCTAAAATTAACACATTAACACAGCATCTACAACAATTAGAAACACACCAACACAGGGAAGCTACAGTCACCCAAAGAAAATCAATAATAAAGATTACAGCAGATATAAAGGAGATAGAAAACAGAAACTACAGAAACAATCAACAGGACAAGAAGCTGGTTCTTTGAAAGGATTAATAACTTTGACAAACCACTGGCAAAACTAACAAAATAAAAGAGGGAGAAGACACAAATA